CGCCCCCTAATGGCGTTGCGTGCGGGAAGCCAAAGGGCCGGGCGGCCGGAGCAACTCAGTCGGGCGCAGCCAGGCTGCACCGTCAGGCAGGCTCCACCGCAGCCGGGAAGCCCCATCCACGCCCCCCGAGGCTCCGCCCCGAAACCCCGAGGCCCCGCCCAGAGCCCTCTTCTACGTCCTGCCTCCGCCTGCAGTTTGGGATCAGCCCAGTGACCACCCTAGCCCCTGTCTTCCTCTGCGTCCTTGGACTTAGTGTCCCCACCGCTGTTTTTCTTGTCCTTTTCATGGACATGTATGGGGTCCCGACCATGTGCCAGGTCTAAGGGGTATGGCGGCCTACCAAGACGTGGGAGATTACTAAATAGAGGAGAAAACAGACACAACCCAAGGAAACAGGCAGTAGACAAAATCATGACAAGTTATGTTAATAAGTGTTGGGTGGTGCAAGTTAAGAGGAACTAGGTGGAGAATAAGGGGAGGGGGCCTCTGCTTCAGATGCAGTGGCCAAGGAATACCTGGACACTGGGCCTGTGGCTGAGAACCTCCTAGCCTTGCCTTCCGTTGGGGAAGCTGTAATAAGACCTGTAATAAGATCTACTATTATGCCTGGTGGGCAGAGTGAGTAAGGGCAGCCAGGCCTGAAGGGTCAACATGCGCAGCCAGATGGGGAGAAGGGCAGAGCTGACTTCAGCAGAAAAAAAAACAGTGAAAAAGCTCTGAGGCCTAAAGGAGCTGGCCCTACTTGAGTCTGGGCGCTGGTATTGTTCTCATGTCACCAGGAAGGAAGCCAAGGCTGCAGAGGGTGAGGAATTACGCAAAAGACTCAGAACTAATTGGTCTCCAAGCATAGACTTCCAAATCCCATCTGTTCCTGCTAACCAGATCTCTGTCCCCTTCCTGGTGGGACCCAGTATATGACGTTGGTTTTGCCATTTCCCCTTCTCCAGTAGGATAACCACTGAGAAACTCAACTGTATTTCATGTCATGTGTGTGAGCTGCCTCTGAGGTTTAACTTCTATCATATGATCATCACAGTCATATCTGACCCTTGAGTTTTCTCTGAAAACGCAAACTGATAGGTTAAATAAATTACATCTGCTTCATCAACATAACTGAGTACGGCATTATCATATTCAAAAAGACTAGGTGAGTATACAGGAAAATGAGTGAAAAAATAAGAAATGCACAAAATGGTATACATGGTATAATCCTAATTTTATTTTTAAAAACATAAGTATGCATAGACAAAAATTTCAAGGAAATATACCAAATCACTGATCATAGTTCTCTAGGTAGCAGGACGGGTACGTTAGTGACTTACTACTTCTTAATGTTCTTCTGAATTTTCTATGTTTTCTAGAATTAATATTGAATTTATAATTAGAAAACTTTTAGTTCTATTTTTTACAAAAGAAAGACAATACCGAAATTATCCAACACGCAGATCTCCAGAATTTGTTGCCACTGAAAATTACAGATTTGCCCCTGGCTTACTGGTGTCCTTTGAAGAGTCATTTCCCTCTCAGGGCTTCTAGTTCCTCAACTAGAAACAGAAGAATTAACTTTGTCAGTGGTTTTCACAGAACTATTTCTACATATCTCTCAAAGTTTTCGTTGCTATTATAAATTATATTTTCAAATTTATAATGTATTGATGGTTATCGAAATGTGATGTTTTTATATAATAATCTTGTATTTCACAAACTTCAACTCTTTTTTGGTTCTAAGTTTATAGGCTCTCCTGAATTTTCTGTGTAAATAATCGTAGAGTCTGCAAGTAATGGTATCTTCCTATCTAATCTTTATTTTCTTTTGCTTGTTTTACTAAACTAACCAAAATCTCCAGCACAATGTTGAATTGCAGTGATGACAGTGGACATTTTTATCTTATTCTTGACTGTTTCTAATATTTCAGCACTGAATATGGTGTTTGTTGTAGATTTTTGATAGATACCCTTTATCAGAGTAAGGAAGCACTATAGTGCTTTATTATGAGTAGGTGTTGAATTTTATCAAATGTGAGATTTTTAACCCCAATCTAACCAATTACAATCATGGATTTTATTATATTAAACCATCCATGCATTCTTAGAATAAATTTACTTTAGTGATGTATTATTTTTTCAATATACTGCTGGATGTTGTTTGCTAATATTTTATTTAGAGTTTTTTCCATCCATATTTATGTCTACTATTTTCCGCTCTTAGTCTCTCCTTATCTGGTTTTGCTATCAGAGTTACATAAGCCTCATAAAATAAATTAAGGAATAGGAGTCTATTCACTAGAGCAGCTTCTGTAAGACTGGGATTTTCTGTAGTTTGGATTTCCTGTAGGATTCTCCTATGTACCATCTTGGTTTGGAGTTCTTGGAGGAGTGTTTACACCGACGCTCAACCTATAATATTCAATCCGGACTCAGGGCCCATCTTCTCCACCCCAATAGCTCTTGTGGTGCCACCAGGAATCTTCTTGTTGAATCCAAAAGACCCTCCTCAGATCTCCTCCTCTCGGGCTTTCTTGTAGTGATTCATTGACCACACCCTCTATGAGACTGTCTCTTTCCATGCCGTTTTAGTTTTCCTCCTTCCTCTACAGTGCCTCCTCTCAGACGCATGGAGATGCTCCTCCTCTTGCTTTACCCACCCCTATGCCCAGGCTTCTGGCCAAGGCCATCATTTCCTCTCTGTCTCCCCGTCTCTGTGGACTAGCTCAGCCACATCCATGGATTCCGTTATTGTCTCTAAGCCAAAGAGTCCAAAACCTCCAGGCCAGGCCTCTCTCCTCAACTCCAGACCTACAGACGCTGCATATTCTACAGCTCCTACTATGTGCCAGGCATTATACTAACTGCTTTTACCTTTTGGGTCAGCTCTCTCTTGCCGCATAATAAATTATCCCAAAACTTAAGGGCTTGAAACGACAAACATTTCTTATCTCACAGTTTCTATGGGTCAAGAATTTGGAAGCAGATTTGGTAGGTGGCAGATCTTGCAGTCTAGATGTCAGCTGGGGCTGCAGTCAGCCTAAAGGCTTGGCCAGAGCTAGAGAATTCTCTTCCAAGCTCACCCATGTATTTTTTTTTTTTTTTTTTGCAGGTGTAGTAGTTCCTCTTCACATCAGCTTCTCCTGACAACATGGCAGATGTCATCCCCCAGAGCGAGTGATCTAAGAGAGAACAAGACAAAGCCACAATGTCTTTTATAAACCAGCCTTGAAAGTGACATACCAATAGTCTCTTGGTCTCACAGACCAGCCCTATTATAGTTTGGAAGGTACCACACAAGGCCACAAATACTAGGAGGTGGAGATCACTGGGGTTATCTTGGAGGTTGCCCACCGCACCCTCACAACAATGCTGAGTGCAGATTACCCACATTATCTCTTGGTATAGATCAGAAAACTAAGGTAAGTAGAGGTGAAGTCATTGCTCAAGGCCACACAGCCAAGTGTGAGAAGAGAGATTTGAACATATCCTGCCTGGATCTCCGCAATTTTCTCCTCCTTCACACTCCATCCTCTGATGGTTCACCACAAGCCTCCTCACCTTCAACATGTGCAAACCTGAACTCTCTCGCCTCACCACCCCCAAAACTCCCAAGTCCCCAGCTCAGCTCAGCAAATGGTGCCACCATCCTCCCATCTGTCCACACCAGAAGCTTTGAGTCATGCCTGCTCCTACCGCCCCCTCACTTCCCAGTGCCAGATACCTCAGCCCTGCCAAGTCTTCCTCTTCAGTGCAGCCTAGATCCATCTCTTCTTCTCTCTCCATCTCTATCACCATCATGCCAGACCAAGCCACCAACTTTTCCATCCTGGACATCTGCAGTAGCCCCTCACTGGTCTCCCTCATTCTCTCTGCTTCAATACTACCCATCTGCCGTCCTCTCTCCAGCATGAGTCGCCTGTAATAACACAAAGCTGGTGTGTCACCCTGCCTGCTTTAAACTCCTTCAATGGCTCCCATTGCCTTCAGGATCTGGCCGAAATTCCCTCTGGTGTTTTCTGGCCCCTGCCCACTTGTCCAACCTCCTCCTCTGCCCCTCTTCTCTTTCTTGGGGTCCCAGCCCCTCTGGCCACATTTCAGTATCTGAGACCCACTGTGAATTTTTTCACTTCAAGATCTCTGTTATGCTGTTCCCTTGGCTTAGAACACCTGGCCCTTGGTGTGCATATTGTTACCTCCTCGGAGAGGTCTTTCCTGACCTCCCAGCCGGGCCGATGTCCCCCAGCTATAATTTGCACAGTGCCTGTCTTCCTCTCTCTTCGCCTCACTGCTTTTCAGCTACGAGCAGCCTGAGAGCAGAAATTCTATCTGGCTCACAACAGCACCCTAGGACTTCACAATAGGCCTGGCACTTAGCACGCGTGCAGCAACTATGCGACTGGTGTGTTCTCTCCATT